TTGTAAGTGACAGACGGCCCTGCACGCCAGCGTGCACCTTGCTTGATGGGGCTATTGAGGCTGTTCGATGTGCTTGCATTTTGCACAAGGCTTTCAGCAAGTGCAAGAAAATATTTTTTTTTATTTCCTTTCCAGTTCCCAGCTGGCTTGTTTGTTGTTCCCCCCCCCCCTTTAAGGGTTTTGCCCCTTTAACTTCATGCTTAATGCACAACTACTGTGTTTATGTCCTTAATTCAGGAATCATCAATAATGAAGATAAAAATGTGGATGTCTCTCGCATACCTTGCAGAATTAATACAGAAATCAAGAGAGCTCTGTAAGGATTTGATTATTTCTGCTGGTAGTTGTGCACCAGTAAGCCAGCAATCAAAACACTGAAAAGCCAGAATCTACTTTCACCTTATTTCAGTCAAAAGACATAATAGTTACGTTCTTTTTTCCTAACTGTGCTTGTTTATAAAATAAATGCTGCTAGTTAAGTAGGAGTAATAAGCAATCAAAACCTCGATTCTGCAAGCACTCTACATCAGTGAGGCTGCTAAGATGGATAAAGTAGTGCAGGCGTGTAGATGATTTCAGAGCTCATTTTCTGTCCATTTGCTAGTTTTAAAACTCTCTGGGGGAGAGTTTTTAATGGTATGTGCATGTCACAGTAAAATTTGTTAACCATAATTCAAAGATTGACAAGCCTTTTTGCATAGATGTACACACACAAAATAAAGCCAAAAACCTGAGAACATCAAACACTATCAGCTGACATTACAAATACATTTTGATAGCAATTAATTCAGAGCAAAAAGTTTTATGATGGATCATTTTGCTTGTGTAAGAAACAAATAGAATCCTTGGACTTCTATTGAATTTAGTGCAGTGTCTAGGCTGTAGATTTTGCAGAAGTGAGAAAGGTATCAGGGTTTCTTTGCATTGTGACTATTTTAAACAAAATCTTGGTAGTGTAATGATTAAACAATCCTAGATTTTATTGATTTTAATATCATTGTATATTGCTGATCTGTGGCAGGGAGCCTGAAATGATTACAAACTTGTTGGTGGGGGAAAAACAGGAGGGCAAGAGAATGTCTCGTATGTTATGTTTCATAGTAGCATTTGCAGCTGTGTCTCTGTCGTGTCCTGTCATCCACCCCCCCATATAATCTTTGTAGAAAAGAAAGCAATGATGTATGAAATTATGAAGTCTTTAAGGACTTAATGAGTCCATTAGTTATTCTAGAAGTCTAATAAATTAATGAATTGCCAAGTCCTTAAGGACTAAAAGGATGGCTGAGAAGCTCTGAGACTAAAACTGAATGCATACTTCTGATATGAAATGGAAGCAGACAACTTTACTTTGCCTATAGCTCTTCCCTTTCCATCTGTGACTTTAAAAACTGCTGTACCAGTCAGTACTATTACAGGAAGGGTTTTTGTAACACACATGTCTTCTAGTTGCTTTATATGCCCTGGCTTAAAATGTTGAAGTGCAGGAAGAAAATACTTTGCAAATTTGCCAATTTTTTTTTTCCAAAAAAAGGCAGTAGTAATTATATGTCTTTTAATATGCATCACAACAGTATAGCAAGAATAATGATAGATGGCAAGCATGACATGATGACATTAAAAGAATACTCTTGGGAGGGACGGTGTTGAGTAAACCACGTGTGTATGGGTAATGTTCAGCGTGTTGAAGTTATGCTGTTAGTGATGGAATACAGTCATTAATGTTCAGTCTGGATAAAATAGAATGTTCTGATATATATCTAGCTTTCTTACTATGTGTTGTAAAATATCCTAGTAATGTTTTGGGGGTTTTTAATATGGTAGTATCTTATTTTTTTTATAATACTTCTGCTTTAGGTCCTGTTCTCCACTGATCTTTTCAGCATGGGGCAAGGAAATTCTTGTAAATAAGATGTTTCAGTCTAGATTTCAGAATCCTAATCAAGAGACTGTTCCTTTTCTAATAACTGGATTCCTACTGTACAAGCATGGAAGTGGTCTTGCATTATCGACCACATCAGAGAGATCTAATAAAACTGCAGAAATTTGCAGAAGCAGCAGTGAAGGAGTTTCCCATTCGTCAGTTACCAAGATTTACACCCTGGTTTCCAAATGATTTATACAGATTTCCCCTCAAACCAAAAAAGCAGCCACCTGTTATTTCTTGTGAGGAAGCAGAAGAATTGAAACAACTTTCTACACCTTCGGAATATGTTACAGGATCTCCTGATTATGACTGCACAAAAAATCTCCTTGAGTTTCAGTCTAATGTGAAACATGGGCAGACTTTAATTCAAGCACAAACTGTTCAGAGACCGATTAACTTGGAGAATCAAGGAGAACTACCATCTAATGGAAAACAAAAATTGAAAAGGTCATGGAGTGTCTCTCTCCCTAGCCCTAAGCTTAAAGAAAAAATTCTTCCTTTATCTCAAGAACTGCAGAATAATTTGGAAAGGCTAAACCTGCATGCATTTTATAGAGCAAAGTGGACAATCGAACAGTCTGTTTGTAATAATCAGAATTTGGAGGACATCTGGATAAAAGTGAATAGACTCATCAAGCAGAATGAATTACCATCTTGCAATGCTACTATCCAAAGATCTGTGGGACAGATATGGATTTTCTGTGATATATTATACTGTGAATATGTTAGAAATATTCTTAGGGAAAAGCTAAGCCTTACTGATAAAATGAATTTGCTTGTACACAAATTTGGAATTATATTTAGTTTATGATTGTAAGATAGTTTCATAATAAAATTGCTCTCTGAAGTACTAGAGTTTTTAAACAGCTTAGAATATACAAACTTTAGAACAACTGATGAATTAGTGCGCAGAAAGCCACTTAATATTCTTTGCAACAGTTTTTTAACTGTAATAAATATGTTTACCTTTGTTTTGCCAGGAGCCTTATAAATGGTTCTGTTGAGATTAGTAAGTTTGTTTGGCTTACTACTGCATTTTGTAGCTTTTCTCTACCTCAGTGGTCTAAAGGAAAAAAAAAAATTGCAAGAAAAATTCCAGACTATTACAGCAAGCTGTGTGAGATAATAAAATTTGTGCTTTGAATCAAGCAAAGTACATCCTCACTGTGCTTCTTTGAAACTAGGACAAGGAAAAATGTTTTTAAGTGAGATATTATAATCACTATGAGGATCTGCAATTATTTTTGACACTGAGACTTTCAAGATGTGATTATTTCCTGAAAGTAGTCTGTGTGGGTTTCTTTAATGATGGCTTAGCCCTCACATGAAATACAAACTTACTTTCTACTGTATGTGTATGCTGTCTTAGTAATGTTATCTGTATCTTCCCAGAAATACTAATGAAAGTTTCAGTGGAAGTTGTGTGCTGAAAAATAATGAACAACTTAGCATTTGCTGGTTTATGACTTTGGTAGTAAGGTGGTTTTTTCCCCCTGATGTTTCTGGTCTTTTGTCCCTATATTGGGGAACAAGAAAGCACTAACTTCAATCTACAGGTCAGGAAATTAAGAAATTAGACATCTACCTGTAAACCTCTATTTGTTGTCGTTATGGAATGTAGAAGTGTCTGAGGTTTTGAATGCCTTTTATGGTGATAAATGGTTGAGTTCAGCATGACTTTGTCACCTAAAAGAATAAAGTGTTTCAAGGTCATGCTGTCCCTGCTCAATTCAATGTTTGGAGGGTCAGTAGAGCAGTTAAACTGGGATCAATATGCCTGCAAAGGCGTGTGTTTCTCTTAGGCACCCCTACTAACTCCAGATAATTTTACTGTAGCTGGAGGTCAAGGCCTGTGGAAAAGGGGGAGAATAAGTGAATGGTATTTGTAGATTGTTAGATTATCATTAACACTGATGAAATAAAAGTGCACATAACCATAATGGAGATCCCTCTGTGTAAAAACTAAATAAAATCCTCTTGGACTTTTTCTTTTGCTGACATTCTTATATTGGAATAATTATATTTTATTATAGGCATTACATGTCATTTTTTAGTTAAAAATTAAGGATATTGCTCAGTTTGGATCATTGACATGTATTTCTGAACTTTGAATGTTAGGGGAGTCTTACATTGACATTTGGGGTGTTTGTGACATTTAATATTACCTCTTAGCAAAATTGATGTAAAGTGCTGTCTAAAGTAACTGAGGGTCATTATTAGTTTTAAAGCTCATATAGCCAAATTATTTCACTGAAATTATTTTTTTGAGTGTAACACTAATAGTAACAAAGTTTCTTTGTGCACCAGTGTTTTTAAAGATGCAATGGAGTAGAATGCAGCATGGTTTGACTTTTTCTTAGTGTTGTATCCTGCAAAGATATAATATTTTTTGGTATTAGTTTAGTAGTCCCATTAAATATGATAATCTGCATATCTTAGATTTTTACTCCATTCCATTATTTATTGTCTTAAATGTGACTAAACTTGATCTGTAACTGTTCCTTTAGAAACAGTCAGCAAGTATTAGTTTATATGGGTTTACGGTAGAATTGAATAAAATTAGGTAACCACCAATCATACAGTCCCACTAAGTTTATTTAATACATTATACTGACAGAGCAAAACAAACATCTTACTAAGATTGGTGTCACTGTTCAGTGGCAGCTGTCAGCTTTCTGCTGCTTTGGGTTGGCTTGTATGTGAATAATGATGCATGCACTCCTAGTTGTGAGCACCTCAGCTGGATAACTGTCATGTAATAAAAAGTGAACACCACATTTGGTTTCTCCGCAGAATTATTACAGTCTTGGGTAGCACCAGTGTACAAGCTGAAATCCAGAATTCCATTTGGAACTGTTCTGGAAATGCTTAGTTCATATGCATGTATAATTCAGTGTTTATCTGATTTTCAGTGTTGAATCTGGTTTTTCATTTACTCTGTTTTGGATATTTTGGGACTCTTTATTTACCTTGTGATTCTCAATCTTCAGAGGTCATGTTTTTTCATCCTTTCACTATAGCAAAGAGAGTGTATTGCCTTTTTATATGTGAAAACTGATTTATTTGTGTTGATAACTTGTATAGGTCTGCTGTATAGTAGTGTAACTTCTTGTGAACCAATACAGCCCACTACACCCAAATGTATATCCAAATAATTCAATGTTTTACACAACTGGAAGTAGGGATGCTGACTGGACATACAAGATGAACAAAAGTACAATAAAGATAAAAGCACAATACATTTGTCAGTGCAAGGATGTTGCTTAACTTATTGCAGTCAAGAAGATACTTTTATTTTTTAGTTTTTGTTTTCAGAAATTATATGATTTTGTTTAAATTTTGAAGAAAAAAAAATCAGTTATTTTTACATATTCAGTTCAACACCTAAGGTTACAAATACTCCACTTTGTTTCGTGTGAATGTTTTCATGAGAAGTTATATGCAAGATTAGGGCCATTGGTTTATATGGACAGGGAGGAATTATTTTTAGAAGCAGTATCTTATATCTGTAATACAAATAAAAATCACATAATTTTGAGTATTCTGAGTCAAAATAGCCTTTGAGAATACCACTTTCTTGAAGCAGAGGTTTTTAATAGTGAAATCTCAATTATGTTGATTTTGTCAATATCAATAAAATAGTTTTTAAGTGTGTTCCTGAGGTTTTTGACATAATTCTGCTTGTTTGAGTTTAAAGTTTGTGACTAAAAGAAAAAGTGGTTGTATAAATTGGGCTTTCTAGACTCATAACTATCTTGCCTGTGTTTTACTCTGATTAGAGTGTAAATGCAATTCCTGATAGGCTGGAGTTTGACCGAAAGGGTCTCCATACTAGTCATCGTGTCCCATTCTAGAGCAACTGGGATCACAGAACAGGTGCTTAGCCTAGAAAGTCCACAAAAATGAAACTGTTACAGTTCTCCTGAAGTCCACAAAGCACTTAACGCCAACAAATATAAGACCTTTAGTGCCTAAGATTGAAAGTAGTAGATGTTATTGCACCAGGGGAATAAAGCAAGAGGACGATGGCTTTTTTTTTTGGATCTCAAAGTAGCAGGGAATTTATATATTGAAAAAGGCCAGGTGATCCAAAAAGGTGGTGTTACCCTTTTTCAGGCCAAGATTTGGTGGTTGTGTTTTTTGGTGGAAGGAGAGCAAGAGAAAATTATGCTTTCAAAAAAATAAATTAAAAATACTTGTTTCATTGACCTGTGGTTTGTTTTCTGATTTTTGCAGTGATGAGGCTAACAAAACCTACTTTATTCACTAATATTCCGGTGACTTGTGAAGAACGGGATTTACCAGGTATGCCTCTTCTACTGACTGATTATTATGTACATATTACCAGGTTTAAACAATGTGAGCATCTGAGACTTAGATGTCAGAGGAGCCTTACAACCTTCCATGGACGGTCATCTGAAATAGCAGTATATTTTGTTTGCTAATAGCTGTAGGAAAATATCAAGGTGCACTCTGTGACTCTTGACCTACATCTTTGAAAGCTTGATGATATTGCAAACATGTGACCTAAAAGCCTGAGCAACTAAGACACAAGGTGGAAGGCAGTTGTGAGAGAAATATGTAATTGTAGAAAGTTTGGTATTACTATTTTCTTTGTCTGGAGAAAATGCCCTGGTAACTAGAACCAACATGTGACTGTTCCATGGAAAATGATTTTGCAAGAATAGTTGCTTTTGAATTGTGTTATGCTTGGTGTACAGACATAAACTGGAAATTCCTGGATTGTCCCCCAGTAATAGTTGAAGAAGAAATTAGAAACTAGAAAACAAGTATAAGAAGGAGGCAAAGGAAAGACAAAGCAAAATCCAATAAAAGAGGATTGTGTGGAAATACAAAGCAAGCAGGGGAAGAAAGTAAGTGGGGCTGATTAGTTTTGTTATGTGCTGTGCTTTACTTGGGCAGAATTTCCCTTGAAGTTTGAGCAATGCCTTTGGGATTGTGCCCTTCAGTGTGTATACTGAATGATTTATTGGACACAAGTGTCTGGAACTAAGCTATAATTTATAGGTAGGTCTATAGATAATGTATTTCATCCCTAGACAAGTTGGTTGCAAAATAAATATGTCTAAAATAAACTACATCTAAGTAAGTCCCAACTTAAATTAGAAAAAGCATTACACTTAGCAAATATTTAGATACTAGCCATTTGATATTTCTACAGGTAATCTGTTTAACCAGCTCATGAAAGATGATCCTTCTACTGTAAAGGGAGCAGAAACTTTGATGCTAGGAGAAATGCTGACTTTGCCTCAAAATTTTGGGTAAGAATGAATTACTATAACTGTAACATGCAAGGTTTAGGATTCATTTAAGTATATGTTTTACTTTCTTTTTGAACATCATTGTTATGCAATGAGATGTTAAATCATTTTAAAAATATGTGGCTTGATTTATAATGTGGCATAATATATAAATGAGTGCTGCCTGATGTTCCTTGTCTGTAGCCTGACTGAATGTAATAAGGATTGAAAGTTGAAAGAAATTTGCAACTGTAAGTGAATTTCTGAGATAATGCACTACTGTAAACCACATCTTGTACTAACAGAGTTTACTACAGTGATTTTTGTGGCTACTGTACACCATCTTATTCTAGGAAAAAAATTCTGATTTGTTTATTCTTTTTTGAAGTTGTTCCTCTTAAAAGGATGACATTTAGAAGTATGAGTATGAAAATGCCAACAGACTTTTAGGATTTGATCTGGCAAATGTGTGTGTGCACATGTATGTATACGCATATTTGAATTAGAAATTAAAGGGGTTTCTGTGCAATTTCTGTATTTTTTGAAAATAACTGTTACTAAACGTATTTAATTTTTATTTTTTTTTAAACACAGAAATATATTTCTGGGAGAGACATTTTCCAGTTACATTAGTGTACACAATGATAGTAATCAAGTTGTCAAGGACATACTGGTGAAGGTATGTGAAGATAAATCTACTTACTGAATGTATAAAAAAAAATAAATATGTTGAATATGTTTTCTGACAATATCTTGTATGTTTAATGCTAATATATAAACTTTAGGAAAAATCTGTCACTTTTTCCAATTTCCAGATATATTTTCTAGATTGGAAACAATAAGACATAAAAATAGAAATGACAATAGAAATATTTAAAGATTAAAATGAAAAACTAGGATTGTAATAAAAGAATATGTTATAAAGCTTCTGTGGAGAATTGGTGTAGCAAAACTTCCACAGCTAAAAAATTTGAGTTGTATTTGTTTACTTGCACTTTCAATGAGGTTATCAAAGCACGTCTCTAAAGCATGCATTAACTTATGTTTTGTTTATGTTTGAAATGAGTTGTTCTCTAGTGCATTGTCTTCTGCATTTTCTGCTGAACAAATAATACATTGAGAATAGAAATTCCAGAAGTCATTGTTGAACTCAATGTAAAAAGTAAATAGAGATTTTATAAGCTGCATGTTAAAGGATTGGACTGTTTATATATACATATATATACACACTTAAGTTATTTTTCTTTAGATTGCCTTAAGCAGCTGCAGTTCTAACCGATACTTTGTTTTTCTGTCCCCAGGCTGATCTTCAGACAAGTTCTCAGCGCTTGAACCTTTCAGCTTCTAGTGCTGCAGTGGCAGAACTTAAACCTGACTGTTGCATTGATGATGTGATCCATCATGAAGTAAAGGAGATAGGAACACACATGTAAAGTTTTAAATTTCTCTATTATTAAATGAGCTTAAATGAAACTGCAGCACATGCATGCTATACTGTTGCTGCTTTGATACAGGCAAAAAATTGAAGTAATTCAAAGTATTTTTTAAAAATTGTTTCTTTCAGCCTAGTTTGTGCAGTAAGCTACACTACTCAGACAGGAGAGAAGATGTACTTCAGAAAGTTCTTCAAATTTCAGGTATTGCATGAAGCATTCTATTCTACTATTAATAAGGGGATGAATCTGAAAAATCCATTTTAAAACATTTGATACTTCAAAAGCACTTTTAAATACTAAAAATCTGTTTGACTTATAAAAGTGAACTGATAAAAACCATCACTTCAAACTTCACATGAACTGATCATTAAACATTTCTGAAGTAATATTTATTACATCTTATAATTTTTATTCACTTATTGAGAAAGAAAAATGTTTTAAAGTTTAAAAACCCAACCTTTTTATAGAGGTCAGCTTTATGATTATTTTCAAACCGAACAAGTAGTATTCATTCTGACTTTGACACATCTAACTTTTGAGTTTAAATTGTAAAATTCTGATTTTTGTTTGTAAAGATTTCTTTGTAAAAATTATAAAATTAGATTTTTCTTTTAAAATTGGAACTTAGTGGTTTGTTTTTTAAAGGAAACTAAGCAGTCTAATATGTTATATCTGACTAATATCCATGGAAGTAATTGATAGAGTTGAAACCTTTTGTTCCACTGCACAAAGACTTGAGATTAGAGTAACTGAGGAAAGCAGAAAATTAGTTGTCCATGGACTGAAGTTACCAGTACCTGAAGGGGGCCTACAGGAAAGATGGTGAGGGACTGTTTATGAGGGAGTGTAGTGACAGGGCAAGGGGTAATGGGTTTAAGCTGAAAGAGGGTTGATTTAGATTAGATGTTAGAAAGAAATTCTTTACTGTGAGAGTGGTGAGGCACTGGCACAGGTTGCCCAGAGAAGCTGTGGATGCCCCCTCCCTGGAAGTGTTTAAGGCCAGGTTGGATGGGGCTTTGGGCAATGTGGTCTAGTGGAGGTGTCCCTGCCCATGGCAGGGGGGTTGGAACTAGATGATCTTTAAGGTCCTTTCCAACCCAAACCATTCTATGATTCTATGACTGGTGCTGGCAGGAAAGAGTATGTTTCAGCTGTATATATAATGGATGTTTATTTTGTAGAGAAATATGCTGAGACTTGGATAACTGTGAGCTCTTTCCCATAGAATGGAGGATTAAGCAACATGCTTTTTATCCCCCTTCTCAATTTCTCTATTTTTTGTCCTCCAGGAGTTCAGTATTCTGTCCCCTCTGTTCCCACTAGGCTTTCTCTGATCACTAATGTATACGTTTGCAGGCTTCCAGTTCTCATCTCCTCTCCCTTCCCTACCCGTGTTCCTGCCAGAGCCTTGTTCAAGATGTCCGTTTGTTGCCTTTAAATTTGATATGGAAACTTAGCTGTGTACATTTTTCAGGGGTCTACATGCTTACTGTAATTTCTAGACTTATTAACTGAATCCAACACAGGCAACTTTAATGTCAAAATAGCTAAGGCCAGCTATCTGTCAAATTTGAAGCTCTTCCTTCATAGAAGGAAGCATAAGAGCTTCTCAGAAAGTGTATGTACAGTTTAACATCATTCTATAAATAATCTCTGATTCATTATGAGAAAAACACTTCACTGAGCAATTGTGGTTGTTATTTTTTAAACTTGACATGGAGACACCAGCTAGAGAACAAACAAAAAGAAATGTTACAGAAAATTGAACAATATCTTTACAATGGGAGTTGATGGCTGCTAGTGATAGAGGTCCCACTAGCTATTTTATAACAAAAAACATTTTCTCTTTGACAGATTCTCAACATTTTAAAGTTATGTTTTCTACAATCTTTTAAGTTGAACTGGTGTTACGGTTGGTTTTAAACAGCTGCTTTTTTCAACCATTATATGCTAAATACTGATCAATAGTGCCTTTTTGTTCCAAAACTTTCTCTGAGTAATTAACACCATTATGTTTATAGAGAAGGAATGATTCTTTCTAGGGTTTGGGATGTGTGTGTTTGAACCTCACTATAACGATTTGATTTTTACTGGAATGCCACTTGAAATTTACTGGACAGAATGGAAAGACTGTTTATCAGAAAGAGAGAAAACATCAACATTTAGGGAAATTAATAAGCTCACTGAAGCAAAATATTTGATGAAGAAAACCACTTGACCAACAAACACCTAAATTAAAATTTTGCCTTTTTTCTGACTAGAGAGAGATAGTTATGATTACTTGAAAGATTTGAACATTGTGCCTGTTACAATGCAAAAATCTCTGTGAAGACTACTTTTTGATCTTGAATTCTTCAGGGCTAAAAAAATTGTTCACAACTTTGAACTTTAAGCGTCTGTCAGTATACTTGTATATAAACAAAAGAAAATTTTCCCTGTGTAAAGGGAAATAAATGTCTTCAGCAAGATAATTTAAATTTGTTTCCTTATGACTATAATAGAAGATTATTTCTTTCTGTTACATCAATGTACATCATTTCATATTTGATTGTGCTAACTGTAGTGGCTTTAAGTACAAAATTCAAGCACTTAACCAATACTTTATTATCACCTTTTATGTCATCAAATTGTTTTCTTTTGCTGATTTAATCTCATGCAGTTAAAATGGTTTATTGACTTTTTTGATTTCTTGTAATAGTTGCATTTTCAAGAAGGAAGTGAAGCCTAGTAATGGTCTGTTGCTTAAGCTAATCATGTGAATAGTTCTCCATTTAATTTATTTTTAGAGAATCCTGCAGAACACTGAAGGACTTGTAAATATTACATGGTGCTTGCTTACTCGTGAAATCAAATGCAGACCACTTCAGGATACAAGATGGATATGATCTTATTTTAAAGACTTAGATCTACTTAGTGCTCTGGATTTGTCTGGTTTCATAAGAAGCCGGTGCTTAGGTGGAGAAGTATTTGTTTGCAGTTTGAGAAAACTGCTTAAAAGTAGCAAAGCAGTCAAGTCTGCAAATAAGAAGCAGCAAGTGTATACTCCGAATTGTGAGATTTTAGCTGAGTTGATTGTATCATATATTCCATTATGCACTTGTTCTGTGTAAGATCAAAAAGAAAAATAACACTTTATTAAAGATTCTAGCACTTATGCACAGTTTATGCTGAATTGGTTATCTGAGAAACCAATTATCAATCTGTCTTTTTTCCATTTCATTCAGGTTCTTAAACCACTAGATGTGAAAACTAAATTCTACAATGCTGAGGTAAGTGAGAGCTGTGTGTATTTGGATTTGTTTTGGTGTGCTGTATTTACACTTCACATTAGGTGGTTAGATTAAATTCAGAGAGCTAAAGTGCACGTTTCTGAGAAAGATGATGAGTTCTAAAGGAAAAACAATAGATGGTGGGTTTATATCATTTAGTTTAAAAGTAGATATACTTTTGATGAAGGAGGGGAAGAGATGTTAACCAAGGCAGACATGTCAAGACTTCAGTGCAACTGACTGATAATTTTGCATATTTTCCACTTTCCCATGAGCTCAAATACTTTCACTTATTGCTTGTATATTTAGGCTGATGGAGTACTTACTGTAAGGGAAATTAATTATTCACAAAGCAGATAATAATTTACCAGATTGGGGAAATTTAAATTATTGAATAGAGGGGTCATGTTTACATTGGCAAAATTTCAAGAATTTTTTTTTAGGTTTGTGGCAGTTATACCGGTGCTTCAAAACTTAATGATGTTATATATGCCTTGTATATTTATTTGGACTTACTTAGGCATCTGTCTTTGGCTACTTATGGGAAGAATTTTAACTGAAGATGACATAGATAGTGGAAACTCCTACAAATTACATACAGCGTTCTTTTTGTTTGTAGATATTTCCTGTGGATAGATGTATTATATAGGTCTGTTGTAGAGCATAAACTTCCACAATATCTCATTACGTAGAAAGTTAGGACATTTGTTTCCATCATTATCACTTACCTGCTTTGTGATAGTGAGCAAGTAGCTTAATCTTGTGAATATCGTATTCTGTATCAGTTGTATGAAGTTCAGACAGATACTTGCAAAGTACTTTGAGAGTTTCCATTATGAGTATTAAACCTTTTCCATAACCCCTGAAATGTGGTTAACTATTACACTGCTAGTCATTTGGTGGAAAACCTTCATTAGTATTCTTAAACAGTTTGAAATAGTTTAAAAGATAGAGTGAAGTTGAGGGTGTTGCAGTGACTAGTAGAAAAAAGACCAAAGTGTCAGTGAGAGGAGAAGAAAATATACAGAATTTGGCAATTTGAAAAAAAAACAACTTGTGTTTAGCTAAGTAGAAGATCTTTTGCTCTCCTGTTTGTTCTTAACTAAGCAGATATGTACTATGAATTTGCATGTAGAAAAGCAGAGACTCTCCAAGTCTATTGTTCTAACTATTTACCTTCATCATACACCCGGGGTTCATCATCCAAGATTATGGCTATAAAGGTGTGAAAGGTATATTTCTTTCCCTTCCTGACAGTATCGATAAATAAAACAGAAGGGAGAAATAACAGATAAGAATTTCTGCTCTACAAATGAGGATTCCAAATGCAAAGATCTGTCTTGCTCAGAGTTCTGTAGGAAACTTTCCATAAAGATTTTCTCTGCTGTGAATGAATAGCACATAAATTGAGACGTTTAATATATAGTGTGTAATTTATTTAGAGGGAAGGATAAATCAAGGTGTAGGGCATAAGTGATTTCATTATCATAGTACAGAGGAAAAGAGAAAAATATTTTCCTAAAAATCTTTTATGTATCTAGGCCGCAGGCTTCAATCCTTAGGTTGACTAAGTATGAGATACCTGAGTAAGGCTGGAACATAAGCACATACCACTGGTTCAGTGCTTTAGAGAGCTGGTGTTATCTGTAAATCAGAATGTCTGGAAATGTCCCCTGCTATGTTTTAAGAACAAAAATAATCCTAGGAAACTAGGTAATTCCTCTGGGAACAAAATAAACCTCCATTTTGTGTGTGGATTATATTATTATTTAAGATAGAAAATATCTGTCCCTCTCTCCCCTACCTCATCTTAAATTAAATGTTGCTGTCTCTCTATACTTCATGTGTAAATTTTGTTTTGTGCTGAAACACTTAACAAATGGAAATAAAAACCTCTTTAATGTAAATTCTTGGTAAACTTTTGACATCAAAAGTATTCTTTTCTTACAAAGCTGTTTTACTGACTTGATAAGGAACTTAAAATATCTCCATTCCTCAATTAGCCACCAATTCCTCATAATAAGGTCTTTGAGAAGCTTTGGTGTCTGAGTTGGTGTTTGTGATTTTGGTGGGGTTTTTTTTCCTGTAAAGGTTTTAAAAAGCTGCTTTGCCTTTTTTTCTCCCTGTTCAGGAATTGATGCAACTCCCATTACCACTGATCGATTGAAAGAAAGAAAAAAAAAAAAAAAAACAAAACAAAACAAAAAAACCCAAAACACCCCCCACCATCAAAAAAAAACCCCAAACCCCAAAAAACCCCAAACCTAAGATTGTGGATGATATTAACTGACCAGTTTTAATTTAGCTAGCAAACTGATATAGTACCATTCAGATTTCATTTCTGAAAGTATATAAAGTGCTGCTATGTGTTGTGACCACAGAAGTCAAATAAAATTTAAAAATTTAGAAATAAGTCTTTGGTTAGATGTTGTATGTGATAATACATTGCTGTCAAAGCACCAAGACCTTCATCCTGAATATTAAGACTACTAGCCTTGGGAGCTGGGGAGGGAAAAAGAAAGTATATATGTTGGTTATTAGTTGACTAAAGGTCTTTAAAGGTTGGTTAACCAGTTGAACTGTTACCATTAATATTACAGATGTGATGCTATCTATTCTTAAAGTCTGTCACTAAAATTATTTTCTACCAGAAATTATAAACCATAATTTCATCCTAAGACAAGGAATGATGCTGAACCTTAATTTTCTTGCTTGTTGCTCATATTGCAGTAGCACCCAAATCAAGTTGATCACTGAAATTCGTGCATAGAATGCATGCCCTGTCGCCCTAACCTGCTGTAATCCTGAGATTTAATTACCTGCCCTGGTCTGTAGAAAGTCTCTCACTGACTTTGGTGTGCCTGGTGAAAGGCTCTGTAAAAGGTTCTGTTCCTGCAAACATGCAGGAGACAAATATGCAGACACTTAAGAACATTTGCAATTAACATTGGGTTTTTGGAATGATGAATATTCCCAAAAGTTTTTCCTGGTTATCTTATGCCAAACTTTGTTGTAAGCTGCAGTATTGTAGCTTTGCTAATACACATGACCACATTGTTTTTATTTTGAGACTTTATATATGTGGATACTTCAAATTATCTGTAAAATGGCAAAGACTGTTTTTCCATTTCATATACAACCCATTGCATGGATTTTAAATTCAGGACAAACTTTAAACTTGCTCAAAAACTAACTCTCTTTTTTGGGTCAGTTTGTTCTACCATATCTTATCTGTGATTTGTGTACCTTTAGGCTCTACTTTGGATTGGTTCTGAAGCAAAGCTAGTAAACCATGTAACCATACTAGCTATAACTTAGTAGAAATGTAGTTGTCATCTTTGTTTGCATCCATTTTTATTTACGTTTCTGTCATACTAATGCTATCTTGTTTAGATGGTGCAAAAAAATGCAGAAATGCATTTTGTTTGAAAGTTAGCCTCCTTTTTCTTTAACATTTAACCCTAATTTCTCTAATGTATTCTTTTTTATTTTCCCATTAGAGTGACCTCAGTTCTGTGGTAATTTTTATTTATTTTTTTATAAATATGTATGCTTTTAATTGCCTATCTGTCTCTGTGCTTGTTGACATTCTTTTAAAAACATAATGGAAAAGCAATGTTTGTTCTGCATATCACGAATTGATGTTCCTTCATCTTTATATGTGCAGCTAATCATTAAAATGGTTTGCTTGCTCTTTAATACCCATTGTTGAAACTAAAAGTTGATTATTACAGACTCTTGCTTGTGGGGGTCTTCCTATAAAATATGTCACCAAAATTTGACTAGATTAAATATTTGAAAATGGGAGTTAATCCCTTCTAATATTTTCCTGCTTTTGACCTGTAGAAATGTAGGCTTTAATACAGTGCTGCTTGCATAAACTGACAGAACTTTTCATGTCTGGTTGGTGCAGACAGTGGGTTTAAGGAGAGAGCAGCAGCTGGATGTTCTTTTCACTAGCTGGAACTGCACTTTCCAACTTTTAACTGTGTGTAACAGTTGATGAGTTAGTGTGATACTTCTGCAGTATGATTTCACTTTAAGGTGTGCCTTGTATTAAAACGAACTCTATTCTTCTGAAGTTCTTAAGGATGTATTTTTTTTAAACCCATGTGATATTAAACCAATTTAGGAATAGCAGAAAAGTAACTTGCTTTTTCATTATGCTGCTTGTTTTTTCTTTTCCCTTTCAAATTAACTTTTTCTAAATTTCTGCCTATGGTTGCTGCATTAAAAACAACTAAAATTTGGGTAAATGGACACTTTGAGCAATGGATTTATGGGATATAAATAGCATCAATTTAAGTAACAGTCAGGTGGTACTAGTAATGATTACTGAGAGCCATGTTTTAGTTGAGGTTATTTCCAGCTCCTTCTGCAAGTGTGAGGTCTGTCTGTAACCCATGGAGCTTGCACAGTTTTCATTATTATATATATGCTATCATCTGGTTTGTGCTTAACATGTTTATAAGGCACAACAGGTAGTCCATACCATTCTGGTTTTCTCCTTCTAACACAGTGCATTTTGATACTAAAAATATTTTGACTATTTTGTCCCACCTTAATTTTGTAATTTACAAGTAAGACTCCATTTGTATAATGAAGTCATTTACACTGATTAAAAACAAACTATAAGCTTTCTTCTACCTTTTGCATAAAATACTTTCTTATTTATCATAATAAAGTACCTAAACTGCTTCATACTGAATTTATAGAGTGGAATATTACAGTTGGAAGGTACCTACAAGATCATCTAGTCCAACTGCCTGAATCAATAACTGTCTCGTAAATGAAGATTTGATTTCCCTCCCCCTTTTTTTTTAATTGGCATTTCCTTGGTTTTGTTTTTCAAATTTCCAGGGGCTCATATTTCTGGTGGACTGAGCCTTCTGTAATTTTTCTATCCTGAGATTTTTGAGCTGCAAAGCGACTTTACTTGCCTGCGATTCCATAGAAGCAGAGAGGCAAACCACCTCTAGTTCCATGGTTTTTCAGCTTCTGAAGTTTAACAGTCTTTCATTCCTGTACTAGAACTGGTCCTTATCTTCAGACACTAGCTTCATTTAATAGATATGTCTTATAGGATGTTTTGAAGGTAGAGCACCACTTAAATTGTTGCATATAAGATTTGTAACCATTGGCATGATGCAGCTGTGCGAGAGAGGAGGCTGGTTTTTGCTTTTTAGCCAGTACATCAGTGTTTCATAATAATAAAATCTCAGAGCATGTACCTGAACTGTTTTACTTCAGCTAAAGAAACACACACTTATTTTAATTTTTTTTATACAGCTTGATGCACTAGTAATCTGGCATGGCATGTCATTGTGCACTGCAATTCCTTACCATTTATTCTGTTTTTTATTTTTTTAATAATTTGGATTAAAATTTGAGTTGCTATTGAGTTGATGAAAGTCTTGGGAAGTGGTGATCTGATGCATTACAAATAAGCAATATCTAGAACATGGTGAAATTATCCCACATCCATTGTTTGGCAAGATACCTGACTAACACTTTTGCTCCTATTTTTACTGGGGTTAAGGTTTTTCTTGCATTAATTACTTTAATTTGATTTGCAGGCATGAACTAAACACGTGACTTTATTTTTTTAACAATAGGACTGTCTACTCTTTTTTAATAACACTAATCATATTTTTGTGAACTTGCACTTTTGTTTTTGTTTTTCAGACAGATGAAGTATTTCTGGAAGCTCAGATTCAGAATATCACTACCTCTCCCATGTTTATGGAGAAGGTTTCCTTAGAGCCATCTATGATGTACAATGTTGCAGAACTGAACGCAGTTGACACAGCAGGGGAAAGGTATGTTCACATTTGGGATACTTGACTTTGAAACTCTTTGTATTATGATTTCATGAGATATAAGCATTACAGTTAGTGAGTTGCTGTAATAGAAGGATTGTACTTCTTTGCCTGCTTAAAAAGATCAAATTCCTATATATATTCAGCTGGAAAAGCTCTTACAGTTTTCTTTTTATAGAAAATATTCTTAAAACTTTGTAATTCTACCTAGTTTAGAAATATGCAGCTTAATCTTCAAATAATTGGTAACATGGATGACATGGTAACATGAAAACATACTACTTCTCCAATATCTCTTATATAAAATTTAGCTGACATCTGGTTCTGACTTGATCTGTGTACATATAGTTAGCCTTACAGGACCCATCTGACTCGTCCTTGCTTTCTTCTAGTGGACTGGTAACTGTTTTCAATTGTTCTAGTCAAGATCTAGCAAGGCAGCAATCAAGGTGAATTGGTAGAATGCCCCTATAGGATCTTAGAATAAAAAAAATTTGTCACACTGAAATAAATTAAATGTCATTTAGTAAAACACCAAATACCAGAAGGATGGTCTACTGCGTTCAGTAAACTGTTGTTGATACAAAAGCTTGTGATATCTGGGTAGAAGTTAACTTTGGCTGGTTTGTGCTTTGCGGTTGCGTGGGGTTTTGGAGGAGGTGATTGGGTGCTTCTGCAGTGGAGGCTGAAGTGAAAATTCTGTCATCTTGCCTGTCAAAGGGTTCACCTGCAGTGTAGTAGAGCACTGTTCTTAAAAGCGTTTGCATCCACTGTAATGGTTCTTGTCCTGAACAGGAATCTTAGGCTGATGAAACTGAGATTTACTGGTGACATGGTTTAGCCCCAGCCAGCAGCTAAGCACCATGTGGCTGCTCACTCATCCCCCCCCTCAGTGGGATGGGTGAGAATGGGAAGATAAAGGCAGAATTCATGGGTTGGGATAAAGGAAGTTTACTGGGACAGCAAAGGATGAGGAAAATAACAGCAGTACTTAAAATATACAGAGTGGGTGAGCAATTTGCATTGTGTATCACTTGTGTATGACCAACAACCCATTGAATTCACACTCAGACCATCCAGGAGCTGCGCCACCCCTCCCCAACTAGCCCCTTGTTAAAGGAGTAGCTGCTGCCTGAGCATTCACACATCATTCAGGGTGTCGCACACACACACACACTTATTCTTGGGCACACTTCCTGCAGCAGGATCAGCCTGGGTTTGGTGCTTCCAAAGAGAGGGACCCAGAACAAAGAAATCCCGGGGCAATTACACCCTTGGGTCCCACACACCCGCCCCTCATGCGCCCTTCACGTGCTGTCCACGTGTCTTTTAGTCCAAGAGTGATTTTTGGTCTGAGGTCTTCTAACATCTAATTGGATTCTTCTTCTGTGTCCAGGCAGGCAGGGTCTGATCTCCTTGACTTGCAGTTTCTGCAGTTTCCCCCAAAGGTTGGGGCCTCCTTATCGTCTGGTTTAGACTCATTGTACACCTGGCCTTGTGGGTGGAACATGGAGAACTGAAGAGTCCCAGACATGGAAAAACATTACCGCAGTATTAGTGTGATATGAAAATACACTAGTGTGATATCAAAATACTTTCCTATACTACAAGACTAGACACAGCACTGTACTAGCTATTAGGAAAACTACTAGGAAAATTACTGAGAAAAATACCTCTATCACAGCTGAAAGGCTTCAGCAAATCTAGCTAGTCATGCTAAGTAAAGCTAAGCAAACAGCACAAATCACACTCTATTATATTCCTAAGTAATTTATTCTAATTAAAACTTCCTTATTTATGATAAACAACTAATATCCCTCAACATCTCTTTTCTGCTGAGCATGATCACATAGGCATGGAATGCCAGTTTGGGTCACCTGTCCTGGTTGTGTCCAGTCCCAGCTTCTGGTGAAAATTAACTCTCTCCTAGCTGAAACAAGGACATTATCCACCCCTTATTCTATACCGTCTATGTCATGCCCCCATTGTACTTTCCAGTTAATCATCACCACTTTCTCTGTCTTTGAGATTATATATATATGTACATACTTATACAAATGTCATTCCCTTAATCTATAGGCAATCCTTCAAAAATGTCTGAGTTCATTTAGTCCATGATGTTAGGCTCCATCTGTCACAACAGTCTCTCAGGGCAGGAGAGATGGTGTGTGCTGTTGGATTGTTGCATGCTGCATCCGGAGCTCGTGGCTGGTGTATCTGGTGCAGCCCATGCCCATGGGCTGCATGTTGAAGATGTTGATTTTGAGGAAGTTGCTGGACACCAGTTGCTGAAGCCAGTTCTAGTTCCATCATTGCTGCACTCTGCTTGGTTTCATCAAAGCTCATCCTTCATTAATTTG